AAGGAAGGAAGGAAGGAAGGAAGGAAGGAAGGAAGGAAGGAAGGAAGGAGGGAAGGAAAGAAGGAAGGAAAGAAGGAAGGAAGATAAAATTATTTATATTTATGCTCATGTATGTCTATGTGTGTTGTGTGTATGCTACACATGTCTACAGAGACCAGAAGAGAACTGACCAACCAGCACATGAGCTGAGAACCAAACTTAGCTCCCCTGGGAAAGCAGCAGGCACCCTTCACCACTGAGCCACCTTTTCAACACCCAGAATAGAGGAATTCTGTGTGATGACAGTGGCATCATATTTTCAAGAGGCATGCTTGAAACAAATAACACCAAAATTAAAACATGCAAAGCTGGCCAAGGTAAGTAAATAAAAGCAGAACACATAACATTTATATAAGAGATGGGAGGAAAGAACTCAAAGTCAGTGCCTGACAGAAAAGATCATTTTACAACCTGACCACTGTGAATGTCCATACCAGAAATCATGTGATCACATTCCGCGCATCCATAGAAACAGCAATCACCAGTCACAAACCCAACTGTGGGAAACACATCATCTTACAGAGAGTAACATGCACAGTTGGTTTATTTATGAGCACTTCACACGTGGGAGCTTGCTGGCTCTCCTGACAAGCCAATGGAACAGGTGCTGTCATCTCTTGTCTTAGCAAAAAGGGACTCAGGCAAAGAGTGCTGTGGAACCTGCCCAAGCTCCACGAAGCTGGAGGGTGGTGCAGCCAGGAACCAAACTCAGGCCGTCCAGCTGTGTGGGACACACCCTTCCATCAAGGGGCCACGATAGCTTTCCTTTTGAACAGGCAACCTAACAGGTGGCTTACAACAAAGGGCTTACATCACTGGCCAGCTAAATCTTTCTCTCTGCATGGAAATAGCATCTAGGGCAGTGTCATGGTAATTTTTCTAAGGAAAGCCCCAAAATCTATTCTGATCACACAATCAAACCATTTTTTTTTTTTACTGAACTTTAAAAAGCCTTTTCTTTCTTGTATTATTATTGTACCTACCAATACCCTATCACTTCTTTGTTGATGCAAAATACTCACCAATGTGTCTGTAGCGATTATTCAAAGGGGACCATAAGATCCTATGGTGCATAACACAAGATGGCCTTACTTTCTTCTTCAAGGAATCAACACATTTTCTAGCCTCTCTCTAATTGGATAGTGGTTTAAACAAATTCAAAAGGACAGAGTTTCTGCTTTTCTTTCCATTTATCATCATTCAGGGTTCAGCATTTTCCCCCCACTGGGCTTTAAGACTTCATTTGAATATATGCTTCTTTGTGTAAGAGTCTGTATCTCATTCTACAGACATACTCCAAGCAATATGTATCCCCCTCATGTTGGGTTGCAGCCACGCCTACTGTCTTTCAAGGTTGCAGGAATATTCCAAAATATGTTTCACTTATATACTTAGAGGGCGTTTGCTTTCTATTCAAACTGGGGATTTACTTTAATAGTCATGAGGTATTATAAAATAAACATCTAAACCCTGAGTGTGGTTTTGATCATCCATTTACACGCACTGACTTTTAGGACATATGGTTTTGTAATTTTATCAGGATACCTCTTTGTCCTCTCATATTTCAAGTTAAAACCACCCAAGTCATGTGCCTACTCTTTGTAAGAGCCCTGCTCTTTGGAAGAACACTCTCTGTTGTTTATCAAGGATATATTGTTCAAACCCTCAATAGCCTGATCTAGCCAGCAAGGGGATCTTGAAAGGTAAAAGCTACATTATCCTCAGCAAAAGGATTGCGAATTTGAGAACTAAATTATATGATGGAAGTCCAGGGGACCTATGATTGATGAGCTTGTTGTTTAAAAGTAGCTTTACCAACCAGAATAACGTTAAGAAATATGACAGACCCCATGTACCAAAAGTCAGCTGATAAATCAAGGGAAATCATTTTCTTGTAGAACAATAACTGAGAACATAAGACATTCAGACAGATGTGGGACACTCTTCTATATCAATATTTAAGATTTGTTGGAATCCAGAAACACGCATGTGTATTCACACATTCATCCATACAGCAGTTTCTTATTACTTAAAGCCGTTAGCTTGTTAGTATGACATTTACAAAGAAAGTAACCTATAGAGATAATCAGAAATGAAAACGCTGAATCTTAATTTTAATTAAAAAAAAAAAACACTTCTCCATTAGATGGTAAAACACATCAGTACAATGTCCCAACCACCAAAGAGGAATGGAAAGTCACAGGGCAAAGACATCCAGAATATTCCAAGGTGGAATGGTAGAAGTCAGGAGCGAGTCCTCCCTATCCGTCTGATGTATGCTCCATGGAGATACTAATCAAACAGTCAGAACACTGAGATGCTGTCCTGGTTTTCTGGGGCTGCCACAACTAAGTACACACAGAGCTTCGTGAGTAGCAACAAAGTTCCATTTCCTGACAATTAGGTTGTTTGTTCCTGAGGCATCTCTTCTGGTGGCCATTTTCTCCTAATGCTCTGCCCTATATCCCACCTCTATCCTAATCAAATATTTTTATAGGGACACCTAATTTTTCTTTATTAGCTCTTAAAAACAAAAAACAAAAAACAAAAAAACACATCACCAGATACAACCACACTTGAGGTACAAAGAATTCAGAGGTCAACATAAGAATTTGGGGGAATACAATTTCAGCCAACAAGGTAGCCAGTAACTACAAATACTTTTGGAGCAAAATATATAAAAAGAAATTGGTTAATTGGAAATAATAAAGCTAATCTGTCCATTAAACTTATACATAAGTGAGGACTTCTGTCAATATTTCATATTCCCAAATAATCTAATTTTTAAAAATGGGGCACAGAGTTAAACAGACAATTCTCAACAGAGAAATATCAAATGGCTGAGAAGCACTTAAAGAAATGCTCAGCATCTTTAGTCATCAGGGAAATTCAAATCAAAGCAACTCTGTGATTCTATCTTATATCCATCGGAATGGCTAAGACCAAAAACACTAGTGACAGCACATGTTGGTAAGGATGTGGAGAAAGGGGAACCCACTCCTCCATTGCTAGTGGGAGTGCAAGCTTGTACTTTGGACATCAATCTGGCGCTTTCTCAGAAAACTGGAAATAGTTCTGCCTCAAGACCCAGCTATACCACTCTTGGGCATATATTCAAAAGATGCTCTACCATACAACAAGGACATTTGCTCAGCTATGTTCATTGCAATATAATTTGTAATAGCCAGAATCTATAAACAACCTAGATGTCCCTCAACCAAAAAAAAAAAAAAAAAAAAAAAAAAAAATTAGGAAATCATGAAAATTGCAGGTAAATGGTGAGATCTGG